TTCATGCAAGTGAAGACTTCGTCTAGCCTTTCTACGAGATTTCCCAGAGTCGGTGTAGCCATTTTCCATTCGTTGAAATTAGGCTATCATATTACACAGTCCAAAAGGCATCCTCAACGCCAGGCCTGTTTTTATCTCGGTCCTGCTTCATGAGAGGCACCTGCCAGAACACAGAGCCCAAATTCAACGTCGTGAAGAAATTCGCGTCTCCTAGCTTCTTGAGTCTTTCATCAATGTGTTGGATTGGATAGACATTTTTCATCGTTAGAGCTATCAAATAGCAAAAATCATAGTAAAACTTAGGTTGCCCCCTTTTTAGCCATGACCATTCCAAAAGCCCACGGGGACATAGATGGCTCAATCATATCATATCATATTTCACCAACGTTTCAGTTTTTTTCCATCAGGCTTTTGACTTGTATGGCGTCATTCTCCTAGCTAATTCCCTGTGAGCTACCGAGCCCTCTTCTTTTTCTATCTCGTGTACTACTACTACCTATGTCGGCCTGCTTCTTCGAAACAACGTCTGTGATCTGATTCAGCCCGTCCCTAAGAAATACAGCACTTTAACGAACTTTTTACCTTTAAGGTGCTCTATTTCGAGTAACACTGGTTTTTATGCTGCTAAGTTTGCATCAGACGACCTTTAAGTGAAGTTTGAAAAAAAAGACATTCAGTCATCTGTCTATGATTGCATGGAGAACAATTTCTTCAAAAACTTTCGATCAATTATTCTCTTCAATATACACTCTCTGTTAGCAATTAACGGACACCCAGTCTCTTTAAACTGCTTCAAGTTTTCTTTTATCTGATACTCTGTGTTCGAAGGCAATTCTGATACTCTGTGTTCGAAGGCATTATCAAGTTTCCTTACACACTGTATCGTTACTGATCCCGCCTACTTGTTCAGCAACACGCTCACACTGTCCGTTCTGGGTGATTGAGAAACATCTTGCTAAAATAGCCCAGCTCTTACTTTTTGGGTTTTGAACTGGACACACCTGTCGGTTATTGCTAAGTTCGTTTAAATTTCTCAGCCTAATTGTGACTACAACAACTTGATTTGGTTTTAGTCTAACTTTTCGATCTAGGAAAATCGGCGTCTTGGCTTGATTTATTAGGATCTTATTAATGGTGTCTTTTCAAACTTCCAATCTGGGTTTTTAATTCAAGTTAATCCATCGTTGAGAGTAATTGTAACAGTAGAGTTGCGCACGAAGCTGCATCCCAAAATGAACTGGTCGGACTTGTTCAGGTTCTCGACGACTAGGAAGCTCGTCCGAGATGCCTTCCATCCAGTTGCAGCGAGATGATTGGTGTTTGGTGTCAATCCAGCTACATAAATAGCACCTTGGTTGGCCGCGGCTAGTCGGATACTAGTTGGGTTCAAGTCCGACCTGTCAAAGCCTATGTTGGACCAAGTGCTGATGGACATGGCATTGACAACCGCGCCGGTGTCCAACAGGCCTTTGACTGAGAGCTCTTTGCATTGTGTCCAGCACGAGTGCTGACAAATTGGCCTCACACCCAATAAGGACTGCCTCCTGCTCGAGCATGTCCAATGCGTCGAACCTTCAATTATTCTTCTTCTTCATTGTTCCACTTGCTCGTTCGCCTTTTTGACATGGGCCTTGGCGTAGGTATTAATGACATATACATTCATCAACATTGGTTAAGGGCATTAGAGTTCCATATACTGTCAACTACCCTCATTAGCCTTGGTTCGTATGTTGTGAGTAACGCCCTCACCGCTCTGGAATCTAGCTTTGGGTGTTTCTCGCGCAAGTAATTTGCATACTTGGTGACCCGGAATCCACTCACGGACAATATTTTGCTATCTTCTCTGGTCATTCCCAATGTCTTCCCGGAGTTAAAATTTTTTTCAGACCTCGGCTTATGGGTATTTCCTTCTTCTCCAGTTTCGGAGTCTTTTCTATGGTGCCTAACTTCTCACGCTGTTCAGTTTTTTCTAGTTCTGACCTCATCCATTGCTCAATTTCTTTGGTTGCCAAATCCTGTTGAAACTTTTGCAATGCGGTTGAAACTGCCAGGCCAAAATCCACCTTAAGCGATTTAGCAGAGACTGCATCTAGAATTGAGGAAACAGCGTCTATTGGTCTAGGCTTCACTATCTTTGCTGCGAAGGTATTTTATGACGCGTCTTTCTTTCTCAGCTCGGTTTCATTCATTAGACATGCTCGACTGGCTTTCACTCTCGTTACCGCCTCTTCGTCTCGAGTGTGTTTCGCGTCAGCTAATTCATCCCAAAACTGAGTAGAGTCTAATTTAAACTGCCGCTCGAGGTTGCAGGAGAAACATCGCGGGACCTACTTCATGATAAGACCTCTCACATATTCTTCATAGTCATCATCTGTCGCGTACACATCGTCAAGGAAGTAACCAATGGCTTCCATGCTTTGGTTTTGACTAGAGCAAGACGAAACGTGATGGTCCAGTTTGTGATGGTCCAGTTTGTGCCCTTCTCTTGTCCATAACGTCACGAATCACGAACCAATTCCAGAATTCATGCCACTATAATTGCCAAAAATGCTGTAAAAATTTTGAGCTCTCATTTTGCTTAATAGGTTTTTGCGCAAGTCATCTGGCGTGGATACACAAACCTGCTGCTAAGGTGAAGTCAGTGACCAGCATTTTCTTCAGCTCGTCGCTTCTCACCGTGTCCATAAAATTGGAGCGTTTAGATAGGTTCATTTCTGAAATTACTTGTCAGGGTTACTTCTCTTTTTCAGTTGTTCGAGTTCATCAAAAAAAGTCGACGGACTAATCATCTCTTTGGCCCTCTTCTCGAACTTCACCATCGCCTGATGTCTTTGTACTTTCAGAGCTGAAACGATCAAGTATATTATGGAAGATCCTCCGAGCACTTTTCACGTTCATCCGCCCTCTTCGCCATGACACAGTTCAGTTTATTTTAATTCTTGATTATTTGTCAGCACGCTGCCTTTCTGTGTTTTCGAGAGACTTTTTCTTTGAAGTGGAGCCTCATCACCTCTATCCAGTTGTCGATGCAGCCATCGGACTCGTCCGTAAATGACTTTCATTTGTTCAGCTTCATTCATGATCAGCCTCCTCTTTAAGTGGACTTCGAGAGTTTCGTGATGAGCGTTTCGAGAGAATTATTGAGCGGTTCAAAATGCGACACCGTTGTCAGATCTAGAACTGACCTAACCTGGAACATCGCTGGCAAATGTGTCCCAAGAAGGCTCCCATTTCAAGCTGGACCGGGTTCGTCCAGTATGGCCTTGGTGCTGCTGCTTTGTGCCTTTCCTTTTCCCTAGACTCGAAGTTTGCTCCAGGTCTCGTGGGTGCCTCTGTGTGTCTGAGGTTTGCTTCACGTGTATTCTCATTCCTGTCTGAGAAATCTGTTCGGCTGCTGCTACTCGAAAAAATCATCGAGTTTTTGCATCATCGGATTGGCCTTGGCATCCAGTCGACTTTCCAAGTTTGTCATCGTGTGAGAATTGGTTTCATCATAATTGTTCTGTAGTCGCTCTTTTTTCTGCATGATTTTACGTTCTCTTTCTTCGGATTCCCTGGCAGCTACGGACAAACTATCTGCCAGGTATTGATCAGTTTTCTGAGCCAGCAGGGCTTGGTCATAATTAACCTGCGATATAGCATCAGCTAGCTCGTCTCTCAGTTTTTCATGGCCATTATGAGCTCTCTCATCTACTCTATCTGTTCCCTTTGTCATGTCTTTTCGCAATTCTTTGAGACCTGCCATCACATTAGCAAGAAACTTTCACTAGCCGAGCCCTGCACTCAGCGAAAAGTGATCTTCTTTGTATTACTCAAACCAACCAGTGTTATCAGTATATTGTTCTCAACATTCATACATTGAATATTACAAAATCGTAAAATTGAGAAATTTGGGCGGAATAAATAAAAAGACCCTTTTCTGTTTTTGCTTTTTCCCGATTACCGTATGTTTCCAAATTGTCCGGACACGACAGCGCCCTATAGTACTTGTTGAGCTAGGGTGAGAAGGGCATTAAATTCTTGAGATGCGAGAGGTGTTCACCCCATAACTGCGCGAAAACCTACCCTGCGTCTGTTGTTCATTTTTTGCAACGTTCTGTTTTTAGCTATCTTTGTCGTTGTTAATATGTTTACTTTGTTGGACATGATGGGATCTCTTTTTAATGCCAAATTGTTGGCAATATTGGTGACCTTGAGCAGTTTAATTGGTCGCAAACTATAGAATTTTAGGAAAATTTTTTGGACATGGTTTTTACGTGTGGAAATCAATGAAAAACAGAAATCTGACGTCAAAAATAGCAGTTTTTGGTTAATTAACTTCGTTCAAATTCGTTGACCGAAAAGATACTCCCAACAATTTGGCATTAACTACATATTACAACCGCACTCGAAATCATGCTGGTCCTCTGCCACTTAGTCAACACAAATGAATCGAGTGCCCAAAAACAACACGAAATATGAACGAATCAAAAAAAAGCAGAATGTTCAAACTAGCCAAAATTACGTCTTTTTTGTTGAAACTCGCAGGATTTTTGTTGATTACATAACTGTTACAAAAAAATTCATAGCGCTTTGAGTTTTTCGGCTGGTTTTATGGTAGTTGGATCTTAGTTCGGCTGGCTTAGGTGTCACTGTATGTAAACACTATAGAGTTTCCTAGAAGATTTGAGCGGTTTTTGGGCGGTTTTTTAAGAAAAACCGCTCAAAACCGTTCAAAGCTGGCGCGGTGTTTTAGAAAAAACCGCACAAAAACCGCTCAAACATCTCATTATGAAGCAAGTTTTTGAGCAAAATCGTCTAAAAAAACCGCTCAAACCGCTCAAATCTTGCTTCAAATTAGGTGCAAAATCTCGACTCGGGATACAAAAGTAACACTACAACAGTATTTGGACAGGATTGTGAAAATGAATTAAATACTAACCGGAAATAAACAGAATATTAGTTTTAGTTAGAAGAGATGACATTCTGAACTTTAAAGATTGCAAAATTCACAAATATAGCCATGTTTGCTCAGTTTGTTATTGAAATGTCAGATACTGTGAACTAATTTTAATGACTGAGTTTCAAGAAAATGGTTAGCAGGATCGCCTTTCTCTTCTTTGGACTCATAGGTAAGCTCAACAACTTCAATTCGGGCAAAAAAGTTCTTATTTTCCGGATCTGGCAAAATTTCTTGAACAGAACGCGTGTTGAGGTTCTAACTTTATGCATCGACCGTCTCGGCCAAAATTTGGCATGTTTCGAATTCTCGGCCAAAATTTACAGAAAAATCGCTTTTGTTCGTAAAGAGCAGAAACAATGTGCCTTACTTAAACGGGCTTTCCATTATCAGTTTATATGTATTTTTTTTATATTTCGTGAATCAGAAAAAATGAATGCTAAAACTCTCCGTCTAAAACAAAAACAATGCACAAGACGTCTGTACAGGGCGGACTCAGGGGGGGGGGGGGGTTGGACGCCTTTGTCTCAGGGATTCGACCCCCAGCCGACCCAAAGGGTCCCCTCTTTGAGCTATTTTGAGATATCCATTTTTGGCTGAAAGACCTTAAAATTTTTCTAAAGGGGCCTTTGGCGCCAATACATACTAATTCTAAGAGGGAGCGCGCGCCGAAAAACGCGGTTTTTTGGTCAACATTTTTCAAAAAAGCCTAAAAACTAAAAACGCCTTTTTGGACTGTTTTTTCAGAATTTTGCCTGAGGTGCAGGCATTTTGGTCAAAACATGGACTTTTTTTATGCTTTGTGAGAGTTCAAAAAATCAATTTGGTCTACCTAAAAAAAAGTCAACAAAATTTAGAAAAAATTTAAAAATCGCGCCCCCCTTGAGAAAATTCTAGATCCACTCCTGCGTCTGCACACAAACTTTCCAATTTCCAAAAAGCATAACTACAACAACGGTTCTTATAAAATTCGTATAGAAAGATTATAACTAAGATGAGAATTAAGGTTATAATTATTTTTTGTTTTTTTTCCGACTTTGAAGAAAGTTACGGAATATTTGAGCTAGTGGTGTTTTTTCTTCACACCAATTTTGACTAGCCATTTTTTAACAAAAAATTTAAACCATCTGAAAAGTATTGACTTCCTGAAATTAAATTTAATGATATTTCACCTGTGAGCATTTTTCGAAAGAGCATTTCTCAAGAAGGGGTGCTGGAATATGGTCGACAGTTTGGTAACCTAACATTTCGTGCTACTGAAGCGAAAGCGGATAATTAATCCATTTTAGAATTAGTTTCAAAATGAACTGATGCATTTGATTTGGTCTTTTCATTATTTTTCGATAAGAGAACTAATTCATTTTGACCTTTGCTTAGAGCGTGGGAGATGATTAAAAAACGTTTTTCATGTTTTCTGTATTGAATTGTTTTTTCAAAACGAACACTGCTCCATAATCTTTAAGAAGCAGTCAGAAAAAAGAGCTGGTAGTTTTGCAACCGACTATTTGTTTTAAAATTTCTTCAAATGTACTATGTTTAAACGCGTTTTCGGTGGGAACGTAAAATTGAAAATTGTTCAGAGTTTTGAGAAACGATTACTAAAAAGTTGATTAAAACTTTTTTTAAATCAGTCTTCGCAAGAAAATATCTGAAATTACAAGTTTCGACCAATTTTTTGCCTCACCTGAAAGTTTAAATAAGAAAAAAATGTCAGTGCTGATGATTGAATAAAAAAATTTTGAGCTGAAAATTGGCATCACATTTTTGCTAATCATTTCTGGAGCAGAAATATCTTTTTTTACTTGATTTTTCAGATAGGACAAAAAATTCGTCAAAACTTGTAAGTATAAGATTAGTTTTCAAAATATGTGTTCTGAGAGTGTACTAGAGTTTTTACTAGTCGTTTCAGTTTTTTAATAATGCAATTTTCCAATAATTGATCCAGTTTTCCAATAACGCTCAGTCTACGCGTTGGTTCTTTTTAATATAAAAAGCATTCCAAATTTAGTTGAGGCAAACTGCTCGACAGCACATTTTGTGAACATGATAATATTGCATTACTAAGTGCAAATATATCATTTGCAACAGGCAAGTCAATATATAGGGTCCACGAAATAACTTGAAATCTTTCAAAGTTTTATAGCTTAAAAAGCTTGCGTAGAAAAAACCAAGTTTTTGGAAACATTAAAGTTTCCTAGCTATTTTAAAGTTTCATAGCTTAAAAGCTTGCTTACAAAATTGAAACTTTTCGCAAACCAATTTGAACCACAAAACAACATGAAAACTTTCAAAGGTTCGTAGCTTGAATAGCTTGATTGAAATAAATATTCGTGAACCGATTCCTTTTTTTAAATATCATGAAATTTGTCAAAGTTTCATAGCTAAAATAGCTCTCTAAAAAACACTTAGTCATTTGATTATCCAGTTTTCTTTTCAAAAAAACTTTAGTCTAATAAGTTAAGTATGGTTAAATAGGGAAATAATATGACAAATTAGTTTGTTCAAATCATCTAGAATGGTTTTGAAAGCGGGATAGTACGCAGGACTTGAATAATTTTTATTTGAACTAACATCATCAAAAATGAATTCATTTATACGCTCATAAACTAGTCCAAAACTTGATCAAATTGGCAATTTTCCAGCCTCCATAAACTTATCAAATTAAGCTGCGGTTTGAATGCTTTCTTACTTCAGAGGTTAGAAAGTCTAAATCTTCATTGGAAGATTAAAACTTTTGTTGAAACTATCACTTAAATTGCCGTGATACGTCTGTATCATAAACTCGCCCAAGCAAGTTAAAATTTTGTGCTATTTACTTTTAGTCAGAACAAAGTATAATAATAAAAACTTTCTATAAATTAGAATAAATTGTTTGTATGATTAGTGAAAACAAAAGACTGGTCGTGAACCAAAACGAATAACTAAATGTTACGACTGCCCTTTAATCTGTATCGTATAGTTGTTTGTGAATAAAATTAATTAAACAAATTTAAAATATCATTTGTAAAATTTTTGAGTAGAACGAAACAATTACGGCCAGATAGCTTGCTTCAATTCAATTCAGAAAAAATTTGTTGTGCGGGATAACTCACCTTGCATTAATAAATTACGTTACTTTTTCAGCAACTTAAAATAAATGTTCACAGCGCACACAAATTAGACCAGAGTTATACCAAATTAGCATTTTACAAACCCCACAACCTCTCAAAAAATATTTGAAGGCAACAAGTTCTTTCAGATTTGAACTCAAGGAGTCGACATTTTCAACGTAGTTTGCAATTTGACCCAATCTAAAAAACCCCAAGCATATATTCCGAATTTTATTTTATAAATTGGAACAAAAACAAAAAATTATCAGATAAAAGAAACAGTGCCAAAAAATATTGCAATTTGTCCTGTAGAGTTATGCAAAATTATACAATTACAAAAGTATACAATTAGTTACGAACTGACAAAGTTGAGATTGAAACCGATTTGCGTACATTTTTATACAGATAAGGTACTTCATAAAACTTATTGACAATATCCCGTTCACATTCGTAAATTGAACTAGAATAGATATAAAGGGATTCTCAACAATTTTAGTTAAACAAAATTTTAGCTTTTGAGGAGAGAGTTTTTTAAGGGTTTTTCTTAATTTTTGCAAATCTAAAGATTGCCGCGATGATGATTCGTAAAATAAGGCAATACTTTTGAAATTGATCTTCATTACTCATTATTGACGTTCTAGGCGCAGTTTTGTTTACAATAGAATGTATAACTAAAAAACTCGTATTAAAACAAATCAAATTTGAAGCAGATAATTCAATTTTGAGTTACACTCAAAGTTTTCTCAGGCAAACATCAACCCAAAATATTTTGTAGAGCATACGTCATATTTTAATTTCCATTTTTCCATAATGTTTGGTTTTCGAGAAAAACTGAATAAAAACTGTATGTAATCGGTATATTTAGATAAAAAACAATAAAAGTGGATAGAATCAATTTGAATATAAATTCAAATCGCATTTTTAAACTCAAATCCGTATTTAATTGAAATAATAAAAAGCCAACAAAGGGTTTGAAGAGATTAAAATTGATTTTTAGAGTACATTTTTTTGTCAAACATAACTAATTCTGAATCAACGCCATTTGATTTTTTCAGGCTTGTAATACACTATTTGTATCGAAACGTTTTGAATCATTTTCTTGTCAGAACGGTTGGTAAAAACAAATGAGCCAAAAATTAAAGATAACACACTCAAAATATTTGAAAAAGAATAGTTTCAAGTGAGTGCTTTGCATCTAGTAAAAGACAATGCGATCCAATTATGAAAAGCATTTAATTTGGCACAAGATTTTTGAAGTTGAGGAGATAGTTTTTGGAAAAAAACAGGAAAATATCTGCAAATGAGAAAATTCTCATCAACTGTTCTCATCAACATTAGCCGAGATCAAAAATGATGAAGGGAAGAACTTGATTAAACAAGAGCAAACGATAATTAGGAACTTGGCCAGCCAAAAAAGGATCAAAGCATCACTTCTAGTATACGTACGAAATCCTGAACTTTGTTACCGCCTCCGAATCCGTCTCAGTTTTTTTCCAGAAACTTTGAAGTAACGACAGTATCTTAGAGTTTCTTTGATTATCCGCCCCCTTAAGCACATATGAAAATTTTTGTGGATAAGGCTTGCATCTAATTACTCTGGAATAATGATTTGAAAGTTGACTCACACGACGCCCTGAATGTTTCGACTGCCCTACGGCGTTTTTGAAACAGCTTTTGAAAATTTTTGTTGAAAAAAAAACTGACTTAACTTTCAAGGAAAAAAGGAATTTATTTTAAAAAACTTTTCCCAAACGCTATGCCTAGTGAATTGTCATGTTCTTAGCGTCTAGTTACATAATAATAAGGAAGCGGAGCAAAAGCAGAATGATCTAAGTGCAGAATGGGTGCAAAAGCACAAAAAACATAAAAATTTTGACTTATATTGGTTTATAAGGGCTAATTGATAAAACAATTATTAGAATCGTCAAAAAATACCAAGAAAACGAATGAATTACGCATGAATTGACTAATTTCATTAAGTTTTTTGATTATTTTTTTGTTAAATTCTTGATTAAATTGCTGAAAATATGCATAAATTGTTCGTTGCTTTGCTATTACTGACATTTCTGATAATTATTTTACCGATTAGCTTATAGAAGTTGATATTTATCTATTTTTCTGTTCTTGGACCCATTCTGCTCTTAGACCATTCTCCTTATTGACTGGCCACCAATAATAACATCAAACATCATCCCTCAATAAAGCTTTATTATGTTAGCGGATTGAATGGCCGCTTGCAATTGAGAAGTACGAAATATCTCGCGCGTTAATGGTATTTTTCAAACCCAGATAGCTTTTCAAAAAACAATCACAGCTGAAAATTTTTTCTAAATTTGAGCTTTAGGTATCAGAAATCCCGCTCAAAAATGGTTAAATAAAAATAAATACCCGAGCGCAACTATTCCGTCTTTTTTTTCCAAAGTCGTAACAGTTTTTTCGCCGACTCGAAAAAGATTTAATATGCGGTTACTAATTAAGCATCATACATAAATGAATGAAAATGTATAGTCTAGTAAATTGTCAAACTGTCATTTTGGTCAAAAAACAGATACATTTTAACAGACAAATTTCGTATCCAATTACCATGATATTCATTTTGGATTAATCATCTGAAACTAGGCTTAACTCGCTGCATTCAGATAAGTTTAATTCCCGGGTTGACCTCCATGGAACAAAAATGCTTATCATACAATTCCATAACTAAGTCTGTGAAAAAATACTAATCATACAACTTTCATACATTTTGCTAAAATGGTGTCGTCGAATTTTCGGAAAACTTTTCTCTTGTTTTGGTATAAAAATCGGTGTATCGTACTAAATAAAAAGAAAAACTTTTTGTCAAAAAAAATGCTAATCATACAATTTCCATATAATGAAAATGTATGACTAGCATTTTTTGATGGCGACGACAAACATTTTTCAAAGTATTTTCAAAATTGCCCCCAAAAATTTTTTTGTGTTTTTTTTTCAACCGCAAATTAATTTTCGTACTCAAAAAAAATTGAAAAAAAAAATTTTGCCTGCAAAATTTAATTTTTTGTGTGTATAACGTAGTCTTGGATATACTAATATTAGATTTTTTTTATTTTCTCTTCATAACTTTTTTCAAAAACGCTAAAAAATCCTCTTTCTTTTGTATGACATGTTTTTGTATGCCTTGATCAATGTCTGGTAATTTACAAATTCAAATTTTAGAAATAATCATCTTTGAAAATTTTCGCCAAAACTTAAAAGTTCGTTACTATCGTTATATTTTTTGTGTGAGACAGAATTTAAATATTTCAGGCTGTTTCTAATGCATTTTTAATGCGAGACGGCCAAACTTTTGGTTACTACGTTTGAGTAACCAAGGCTTATGTCATTTGTGTTTGGTTACGAACACAACGAAAAAAATTTTGAGAAACTGAAATGTAAAATCAGTATTTTTGGTTTATGTAAAAATGCTAGTCATACAATTTCCATATATGAAAAAATACTAATCATTGACCTTTCATGCAATTTTCTGTACTTATGGGATTGCATGAAAAGTGTATGATTAGCATTTTTCCAGATATGAAAATTGTATGACCAGCATTTTTGGTCAACCCGGGTTTGCTGCTAACTTTTGAAAATTTTACATAAAAGCATAAAATTGCGCGCAGGAATTCGAGTAAATCGACTATCTGTCAATCTGAAAGCCCCTAATTTTGTTCTTACATTGAGATCAGGGCTCATTGTCTCGAATGAGATTATAAAATTTTTCAGCGAAAAAAATTTTACGTTGAAATACTAAAATTTGAACGAATAAAAAAACACCGCTTTTGAATGAATATTCAAGCATTTTCCGAAAATTGGAGAAATAGATATGCGCCACTTCAATATCACAAGCACCCGTAAATATATTTTCCCTGCTGATGATTGAAGTAATTAAGAGTCGCAAAAAAATTAACCCATCAAATACAGGCTGCAGTGAAACTAGAAAACATTTCAGCATAAATGAAAAACAAGGATTGACAAGCAAGTGCTGAAATATAAAATGTTTTTTTTTCGGGCAGAGTTTTTCATGGCCCTGAAATAACGAAGCAACTATCTTATCCGGGTAAAGATACAAGGTGCGTGCAATGTATCTTTGCCCAGATGAGCGTGGAAATACCAGTTTTTAAAGTCAGCAAACAACTGTTTCAGGGTCATAGAGTCAGCTCCAATGTCAATATGTGTAGATACAGCTCGTAGGGTAGATTTGAGCTTTTTTGTAGACAAAACGTTATCCTTGGATATGGGAAAGAGAGCAAAATCGGAGTTAGCATTTAAACCATAATTAACTGTATTGATGGTTGAGCTGAATTTTTCTTGGCTGGAAAGATATTGTAAAAATGGAAAAATCCATTTTCGGCCGTCCGCAGGGTTAGTTTTGTGCGGAATGTTTGTAGACCGGAAGTTTACCCATGAGATGAGCGGGAAATTCAGAATATTCAAAAATTTCGGTTTGTTCCGTCGATAAGTTTGAGCGAAATAATTTTTCGAAAGTTTCGAGGACAGTCTTCCGCTGATTCGAAGCGACGCGTAATTCCCATACCTCGAACCAAATGCTTCTTTCCGAGGTTTCATGACAATTTATCCTTTACCTTTTTATCCCAGGCGAAGTTATCCCAGTCAAAATTATCCCTGAAGTAAAAATAGCCCAGGATGATGTAGCCCATGCTAATTAAAATATCCCATCTGAGGAATCGAAACAATTAAAATATCGCAATAGAACAATGAAAGGAATTGAAACCAAGATGCCGAAATTGAACAAACCGATAAAAGCAATGCTAACTTTTGAAAAAGCGCGTGAAATCAAAGCATAAATATATGACTTTCTAAGCTCACTTGGCAATATGGTTAAAGAATATGACTCTTGGTCAAAGGTCAAACGATCGATTCACGGTGGATCAAAAGTTCAGAAGGCAAAATAAAACAATGATTTTTGATGCGTCTGTTTTTAGTATATTTTATTTAATATTTGGGTCTTACCAATTATAGTCCAGCATAATATAGCACAAAATTTACTATTTTTCCAAAAACGGGTTTTTTAACCTGCTTTTTTTTCAAAAATTTGAATGCGGTGCAAAATTTTTTCGTCAAAATAGGGTCTTTATAGTGTTCTGGGAATGTTCGGAAAGTCGATTGGGCTGATCAAAAAAAGGCCCCAAAACTTTTTTGAAAATCCGCCTCCCCCCTCGAGAAAATCCTAGATGCGCCCCTGTTGATGGGGCTGGAACTTTTTTTTAATAGTCTGGGGGAGGGGTAAAATGAGAAAGACCCTGTTTTTTATTCGGTTGTGTTTTAGTGACATGGGTCAACTGCACAGAAAAGGGAAAGCAACCAATGGTCTTTAACGACAACCTGTCCCCTACGTGGAGTTCCCTAGTGTTCTATCTTCCGAACGATATCTTCCCCATTGGAATATCATGTGCAAAATTCAGGTACAAGAGGATCTGGGATAGAAATTGGAGACCCAAATTTAAAGTCATCACTTTTTAAGTGTTTTAGGGCGGAATGACGTTAACTTGATACTTAATTGGAATTTTCAACCAAGTATTTTCCACGCAGCACTAAGCAATTTTAATCCAAAACAAACATCTTAACTTTGTATATTTAGATGGAATGGGGATGTCAATTTAATCCGAAATCGGAGCTGAAAACGGGTCGTTTTCCGTATTCCATACGAAACTCATCAGCGCATCAATTTCTGATTGAATGAGTTTCTCAAATTATGCGTCTGGGGCGCATTCAATCTCAACCAATCAGATTTGAGCTACTTTTTTTCTGCTTTCAATTTTAAGAACTCAAAGTTGGGCCGAATAAATAAAAACCGGATCTACTTAACAATCTCCCCCCCCCCCTTTCAAGAAGGGGGGGGGGATTCTTTAGTAGATACAATGGGGGGGGGGGGAGATTGTTAAGTTAAGTAGATCCCCAGGGATCTACTTAACAATCCCCCCCCCTTTCACGAAAGGGGAGGGGGAGGGATTCTTTAGTAGATACAATAGGGGGGGGGGAGATTATTAAGTAGATCCTAGTAAAAACCTAATAAAACTAGAAAAAACTGACCCAAAACCGAGCATCAAAAAAGATATTATTTCAGTGAAAGATCTGATATCCTCGTATGATGATAAATCGACAATAGAACGAAGCTATTGGTTGACTGCATGTAGCAAAAACTCTTGGGTCCGCAACTAGCTCAAACAAGTTTAAGAAAATTGATTTCTTTTTCTTGAAATTATCAGTTTTCGTTTCATTTTTTGGTCTTTTCCTGGAAGAGGATACTAGTGACTCGCAAATTAACACTTAACATCTTAAAATCTTCCACCCCAGCATTTAATTTGGATTGATGAAACTTGGGATCTACTTAACAATTGACCCCCCCCTTTCAGGAAACCGGGGCAATTGTTAAGTAGATTAAATTGTCGAGTTTTTGGCCAATCAGATTGCAGCAAAATTCGAATTTTAAATGCAACTCGCATCCAGTTTCAAGCGTTAATAATCGATTATATTACAATTTTAGTACCAGTCTCACTATAATTGAGAAACAATCAATTTTAATCAATTAATAATCGATTATAATCTCTCTTTTTAAATTCAAATTATAATTAATTATAATCCATTATATTCCATTATAATCGATTATTTATTCGTCTATTTTTTGATACAATTATAATCGATTATAATTGATTATAATCCATTATTTTTATTCAAATTTCTATTTTATTAGTTTTGCACAAAAATCCATTATAATTGATTATAATTGATTATAATCCCTTTTGTTTGTCCATTTTTGTCTTCGAAGTTGCATCTAAATTGCTTATATTTTATGCTTTTTGTGTACGTTGGTTCCTATGAAAAATGAGAAAAATGTTTTTAAAGTTTTCCAATTAGTTCAAATTTATAAGTTTTTTTTTCATTTCTTCCCCATTAGAGTTGTTTTGTGATGCATATTTTAAGCTTTTTGAAACACCAAAACATCAGCAGATTGATTTAGTTCCATGATTGATTCGGAAGATTTATTTTTCATCTACCGCGAGAACTTTTCCACTCATATGAAAGGATATCTATGAAACTTTTGTTTCGTGGTATAACTTTGTTTTCAGATGAACCAAAGTGTTCAAGAGATCTCTCTTTCAGAGTTTTTTTATTGACACAAAAAATAACCCATAGATAAATTTCGAATATGAGAAAATTTCGGCAAAATAATAGATTATAATCGATTATAATCGATTATAATTGATTTTAAGGGTTTTTAGTAAGAACTAAAATCAATTATAATCGATTATAAAAGATAATAATCTCTTCGAAAATATCACGATTATAATCAATTATAAATCCCTTAAAGACCTAATTTTGGTAATTATAATCGATTATAATTGTCAAAAAATCATCATAATAATCCGTTATAATCGATTATTTACGCCTAAACTTGGATGCGGGAACGCTCTTGTGCTAATTTACCGCTTTTATTTATAGGGATGGCAATTATTTAGTAGATACCAAAGGAAGGGCGGTTGTTAAGTAGATCCGACATTTGTTTAGCGCTGCGTACAAAAATGCTGGGGAGGGGGGGGGGTAACTTGGTCTGATATAAAGTTTGAATCACCAGCCATTTGGTCATTTGAGCCTCCCGCAATGTGACGTGACTCAAAGACTATAAATTCACTCTGTTTTTTGTCTCGAAACGGAATTTTTCAGAAACGTTCATTTTGATCAATTGACATTATACATTTATCGTATTTTTATCACATGAGCTTAATTATTTAGTAACTTCTACTGTCTCAGTGGTTATCACACGGGTAATGTTGACGAGGAGATATCACAGACTGCGATCAGCAGAGAGGTTAATGTCGGCAATAGTCGCGTAGCAGTTCTGGCGTCCCAGTTCGAAACTCTGATCAACATGCATTGGAAACTTATCAACATGTTCGACATATTTGAGGACAGCAAAGGTTATTTTCTTACTACGCATTAATTATATTGACATAAGTTGCGTGAAAAACAGTTGAAATTCACAAATTTTCTATATCCGATTTGCTCACCATAAAAATAAATGCGCCATATACATGTATCTAAGATTTCTATCAAGAATCACTAACCATGTCTTTCGAAAAAAATGCAGAATTAATAAAAATTGCTTTTTAACCAAATTATTATTTTCTTGAAAATAGTCAGTTTTTTCTACTTATTCTGATTAAATTATTCGCGCTCAAATTTGGTGTTCGTGGTCTGAGTTTGTTTTATGTTCAAATTTAATTCAATTTCATACGCTAAAAGGAAGGCAAAATCAAGCTCCCACGTGGGCTTTGAACTGAATGCACACTGTTTTGTTATTGCTTTTCGTTTTTGTTCCGACTTTCCTAACGAAAATAACGGAATATTTGTGCTCGGGATGGGTTTTTTTTCTTCAGACAAATTTCGACTTTTTAACTAGCCATTTTTGACGTTTTTTTTATCATTCAAAATTTTTTGTTGTCCTGAGCTTCAATTTGAAAAGATAATTTACCTGTGATCATTTTTCGTAAAGTTATTGGGGTTTAAAGATTGCCAATTTGGCCAATGTGGGACAATTAACGGGCGATATATTTCCCGCTATTAACGCGTAAGCGGAGCTTTAAGCTGTCTTAGAAATCGTTCCAAATTGTTTGAAGGTAGCTTATTTGCCATTATTGATTTGTTATTAGGAACGAAATCTATCACTTTGTGCTTTATATGGCGTGTGAGGAGATTATTTTCACAAAACAGTTCAAATTAAAAAAAAAAGTTTTTATTTATCACATTTAATTTTTTCATGTTGTTACTGCTCCATAGACCTTGAGAGGCAGTCGGAAAATTCAAGGCTTCGCCCTGATACGAGCAGTTTTGTTGGGTTTTAGGTTTTCTTCTGTTTATGTGTCATTCAAATTGTTTGTTTGTCTATGATTTTAATGTTAATTTGATAAGTTGAATGATTTGATGTTAATGTCAATCTTTGGATTTTTTCCCTCCGCAAAATACACTTTTCCAATAAATCACATTGCTAACGTTTGTACTCAGAGTGCTTCAATTGTTTTGAATTCTGGAAATCCTTCCTGTTATGCTACGAAACATTCCGAGTTTTATGTATAAATGTTGCTTCAAGTTTTTTTTGTTTTGAATATGATTGTTAAGTGTTTATTACTAACCAATCTTTTCCATAACAAATTTTTTTATTCATAAGTGCAAAATCACTTTCAAAGAATGCAGAATAATTTTGATCTCCCACAAATCGCTTTCACAGTATTTTTTATTTCGATTTTCGAAAAAACTGAGGATTATATATGCTTGGGTCGGTTTTTTTATTTAAAATTATTGCCCCTTGGCACATATTTACAGCGCAGACACCACTATACTAACCTGAGGCTGTAGCGCGGTTTAATTTTTGCTTGGCGAATTATATAGCATTGCACATATGTTCGGAATTGAATTGAGCTAAGCTAATTGCTCTAACTATATCTACAGGGTCTTTCAGTTAGAATGGTTCTTTTGAAACGTCTATAACTTTTAAATGGAACATTGGATTTAACTGATTTTTTTTACATTTATTATATAACTGATTAAGATTTTTGAACACGTACATAAGAGTTATAAGATTTTTGAACACGTGGGAAAGTTTACAGCGGGAAACTCACACGTGTAACAAAACATGTTCACACAGGCTCGGTAAGCATATGCAGTTAGTCTTTTCTACCGTGTTTGAATATTCACTATGCTTTTTACTGTTGAGCAAAAGAAACACATTATTAGCTTATTTGCAAGACTTGACAATCCAACCTTATTACGCCGGCAATATACCCAAGACTTCAATATCACACCTCTTGAAAGCACAAGATTGAAAGATCATCATTTTTCTCGTGTATGGGGAAAATTTCAAGAGGATTATCTAGCACCCATGCGACTTCCAATCGCAAAGGAATAACGCAAGATACCAATGCTACAAACAGGGTTAAAGCTGACTTCCGAAGAAACCCTACCCACTCAATCAGTAAAGCCGCAGCGAACCTTGGATCATCAAAAACAACAACATGGAAGATCACGAAAGAGCTAAAATTAAAGCCATTTAAGATTATTAAATCCTTGAAAATATCCCCAGTCAATTACCAAATGCGACACACTTTTTGCCTTTTGTTCATCAATATGCTCATTTTGACAACCAATTTTGCCTCGAATGTCATCTTCTCCGATAAAATTGGTGGGTTATGGACTCTGTTCCAAAGTCTCAGAACCGGAGACACTGGGCCCTTGTAAATCCCCGAGAAATATTGGAGTGCAAATATCTAGGCAAGAAAAAGGCTATAAGCTGGGTGGGGGTGCTTAAAGGTACTTTATTGAGCCCATTCTGGTTCGTTGATGCAAGAGACAATCCGGTCACTTTGAACCAGGAGACGTATCTTGACATGTTGAAGTCTAAACACTGGCCAATTCTTCTGACACTCCGCGATCTTCGGCGCCTGTGGTTTATGCAGGAAGGTGCAACGTGCCACTACACAGTGAGAGTCCTCACATGGCTCCACTCAAAATTTGAGGTTTATAAGCAGGAGGAGTGCGATTCCTTGGCCACCCCAAAGCCCGGACTTGAATCCATTGGATTTTTTGGCTATGGGGTCATTTGGGTAAAATGATATCTGATGCCCACCCCTAGACAGTCCCAAATCTTATGCAAACTGTGGAGAATGCTTGTGGAACAAAAACTCCGGCGCAGGGAGTGAAAGCAGAAACAAATTTTGAGAAGCGGTTACATCTTTGTATTCAAGAAAATGGCGGGTATTTCCAGCAGTTATTATAACTCTTATGTACGTGTTCAAAATCTTAATCTGTTATATAATAAATGTAAAAAGCATCAGTTAAATCCAATGTTCCATTTAAAAGTTATAGACGTTTCAAAAAAATTCATTCTACCTGAAAGACCCTGTATATACAATTAAAGTTTTAACAACCTAAGATTTGACATTACTGCCTCAAAGGGCAGCTGGAATATTCAGGGTTTTGCCCTAACTGGAAAGTTTTGTAAAGATATACTGAGACCTAAGAATGTAGAGTCAGATTAAGATCGGTGTTGGTCTAAGAAACTGCAGTAAACTATCCAGCCGAAAATAAGATAACTTGACGACCAGATGGCGTGCCTAACCTGAAAATACTCTCTGAGTTAGTTCTAAAAATTTCAAAATCTCAATTAATCTCCACGGGTGTTTCAAGTGGGATCGTTTTTCGAAAAAATATGGGGGTTTGAAAAGTTCCAATTAGGCTAACTTGGGACCAGTCATTCACAAAATTTTTTGTGCTATTAGTGCGTGGGCGGTTATTTAATCCGCGCATAAGTAAATCCAAAATGAATTAAAACGAGATGATCAAAATATCGATTTTTTTAAAAATTAATATTGAAATTATACAATTTTTTGAAATTGATGGTTTGCAAAACTATTTCAAAGACGTTCAAAAGCAGTCGGAAGTTAGGCTTTGCCTTGTTACGAGCAATGTTGTTCATTTTTTTCTGAGTGTGTGGCGAATCATAAAAGTAAGGTTTATACAATTGTGTACTTCAGTGCCATTGCTAATGTCATGCAAAATTCAACATTGGTTCGAGGGCAACAAGCAGAAACTTCCAAAAAAATATTTATTGGAAGATTTATTTTTGGCGTGGTTGCTTGGTTCAGAACGTTTTCGAAATTTTAACTATTCTATTTTGACAAGTTTGTTTAAGTTTCACTGAAAAGCTTGCTTAACACTTTGTTTTCTTCTGAAAAAAAAACTCAATTGGTTCAATTACTGCGTAGCATTTATTGTTGATTTTTGGCAGTGAAAATATGTTGTGATTGCTCACTTTGCAACCGATGATGCGCGGCAGCCATGTATCACTCTGCGAAAAACAAACCAAAATCATGGGGAGGGGATTTTTGGTGCCTCGATAGAGTTCTTTCAGTTGACCGTAGGTGGCAAAAAGCATGTGCTTGATTACATGCGCTTTCGGGTCGCAAAGAGTGGTATCCGTGGTCTTACTGGCTTAAATGGGTTCTGATTACTGTATAATCAAGACAAGACATAGATACTAATTTTTTTGAGGGGAGCGGGCAAAAAAAAACGCGCTTTTTTGATCAGCATTTTATGGCATGTTTTCTTTTCCACAAATTTCACTGCGGCGCAAAAAATTTGGTCGAAGACGGTTTTTTGTTAGGATTTGGGAGAGCTAAAAAAAAATCAAAAAAAAGTTCGGTAAATATTTCAAAAATATTTTGATAATCCCCCTACCCAAAAAAATCGCAGATCCGCTCCTGGGTAGTGTTTTTTGTAACTGAAACAATGTCTCTTAATTCTCTCCTCACCTATTATTACGAGCTAGCAACACTATGTGCGCCGGACAAAACGCTTGCTAGGAATAAAGGGGCCTTTCTACTTTCTAACTTAGAAAATAAATCTAAAATTCGCTGAGAAATATTTTATTAGAAAAGAAGTTAGTATGAATTGACTGCAAGTTGCCTTTTAACTCAATATTTATTTTAACGGTGAGATTAGAGATATTTTTACTGAGAATTGATATTATTTTAGAGAATGGTTGGGGTGGTTGATGAGAGTGGTGTTGGTGTTCGAAGAGATATTGTTAGGAGTTGATGGTGTTAGAAGAGAAATAGTTGGGAATGAATTCCCGTTGTTTTGAGCTTCTATTTATACTTAGATGGGAAATCGTACCACTTTTCGTATCAAATGGGAAATTACTTCTTAACTTCGTATTCTCTATTCGGGTATTCGTATTTTACGAGAAGAATGTTTCGTATGCTCGTATTTTACGAGAAGAATCGTTATTATTCGCATTGAACGAGAATAGTCGTTTTATTTCTCAATGTTTAAAACGTTATACGAATTATTCCAATAGCATTTCCCTTCCTTTTGCAAAGGAATAAAAACACATTTATTTTGTGGTGGCGGCGGCGTCACATTTTGTGAGCGCAATAAAATGATCCATGTTTCTGTTTCTATTTGAAATCAGAACATATCCATCCTCCTATTTGGTGAAGAAAAAAACTAAAACTTTCATTTTTACCCTGCTATTCAGGTGGGGTAATTGTTGATCGATCAAAGCTATTTGCTTTCAACCTCATGAAGTTTGTTCAATAGTTTGTTGGTATTTTAGGTAGCAGATGTTTTTGAAGACCTAATCTTTTGAGTCAGGCTTGAATGAATATAAATACAACAGTTACATTTAGAAATCAAAATAGAGTTTACACAACCAAGAGATTTAATTATAAAATTAAATACATCAAAATTATTTGTTTCTCAAAAGTTTGAAGGTTAGTTTAATATTATCATTCCTCGAACATTCTTTTCTCGAAGTTTCCTTTTCTTCCTGAAGTATGTGAAGTGGTTGTCCGTATGCGTAATAAGGGGAGGACTGGTTCATACAAAAGGGTGTATTTTTTTGTTTTTTTTAATAAAAATCAAAATTGTTGGAAAAGACAAAATAGTAGCTATACTTCATAGCTAAATAAAATGAAAGGATAAATTTTTTAATGAAAGGATAAATTTATATAATTTTCCTTCCAACCGGGCCATAAGTTGGTAGTTTTTTTTTTGTTTTCAAATTGTGCATTTGCTTTTTCAGCTTCCGGATTTGATGGGTTTCGTGTATATGACTACGCTGAATTTGTTCAGTATAGACATCTAACTGGGGGATTTGTAATTTTGCTGTCAGATATTTGGCTGGGACATAGATTTTTTGATACTCAAGAAGGGAATTAGTTATGGGGTACATTTTTTATGGGGTGATAGGCTTCTAATTTAAAACGATTGATTAATGGATTCAACGCATAATTGAGATCCATATCGAAGCCGGGATTACTGTTAGAATTTATGTACCGTTCCCTTTCTAATGAATATGTAATTTAGTATTTAATTCAGTGGGTTTAAAGGCTGTCGCCTAATGGTCACTGGATATTGAGAAATTGATACCGGCGCATTTGCCGTTAGTATCTTATATGGTCTCACAATCTGGGTTCGCTTTTTAATTCGAGAATTCGAGGGAGCCAGGGGTATTTTGAAATCAGGGGGGAAACTTTTAGGGGTGGTGGCTTTGAGGCTGTAGCTATTGGGACAGCTGAATTGATTTGAAGTAGTGGCTCAACGAAGGATCGTGTTGAGGTCGGCGTTGCAGTGGGAGTCATAGTAGTAGAAACAGTTGGTTGTTGAATTAGTGCTGAAAGTTGTGATTCCAGCGGATCAGTTGGTGGCAGAAGTGAGAGAAGATCCTCAAAACCTCTCAAGTCGTCATCAAGTGTTGCGTCCATAGTTAAATCTGTTGGTATATCCTAGAACAGTAGAAATATTTTATTAGACTGCGTTTTGTTTGGGTGATCCAAGTTTTGAGTTCTTCTCTCAAAACTTGTTGACTGGATGTGAGGATACATGCGATCCTGGTTTATTTTATCAATTTCCTCTAAGAGAAGGGCTTGTATTTTTTGATCACATTCTTGTTCTATTTTTTCAATTTGCTCATCTTGAGTGAAAATTGAGGTCACTATAGAAGTGAAAAGTATATTATACGAGGCGGCAAGCAATACTTTGCCAAAATTTAGTGAGCGGCCGGTGATTTTGTGAACATGCATAGCCTTTATTATGAATACTAGTCAATCTAGTATGAATTTCACAAATAGAAAAGATGCGAAGACTATTCCGCATTTTTCTAAATAGTATTGTACTCTCCCGAATATACGGGTGTATTCGCTTTTCCAAAAGTTTGGAGAGATGAGATAGTCCAAATATATTGTTTGAGAAGAGCCTAGTGGGCTATATGAGTCCGTGAAAAGAAATTTATGAGCGTTTGGAAAGGACCTGGATACTTTTTGCAGTATTACTTTCATCTCTGAATTATCGAAGTCATATTCCAAAATTTTTACATTTGCGCATATGTGTAGATTGAAGCGCCTTGGCTAGAGGCTAAAGAACGCTTAATCTGTTGAACTATCTCTTTTGGCTTAAAGAGATATGGTCCTGTAACCCTTTTAATTTGGGGGGTTAATTCAATCCAGAACATATCATCATCAACATCTAGTTGAAAGAGATTTAAATGTTTGTCGGAACAGTCTTGTAGATCTGCCGACTGAAAAGTTTGTCGCGTAATTGAATTGACAAATCGAATATTTTCCTTATACTTAATGGGAATGCGATTAAAGCATTCATCCATTAATTGCAAGGGTGAATGAAATTTCGGACAATGGTAGAGCCAGGCAACATTGCCATTGGTCTCTAACCACATAGAGCGGTTCTGAGTTAAAATGTAGCCAGCCAAACGTGGGCTTTCAAGTGAAAGCATTAGGGTATTTAATATTGAGGAGCGTTCTAGCTCACATTGATTTTGCAGAAGAGCTAACTCGGCCGTTCTGAGCATGTAGAAGCTATTAAAAAGAATATAGTCCAATTTGGTTCCTATATGAGCTTCGTAGTCAATTTGACTAGTTAAGAATTTGAGTGGCGGCAAATCATCACTTATTGTGAGAAAAATAGAGTTTGGTTGGCCGGCATTTTGAGTAGTTCCCGTTTCTGGGGTTGGTTCAATAGTTTGTTGGTATTTTAGGTAGCAGATGTTTTTGAAGACCTAATCTTTTGAGTCAGGCTTGAATGAATATAAATACAACAGTTAAATTTAGAAATCAAAATAGAGTTTACACAACCAAGAGATTTAATTATAAAATTAAATACATCAAAATTATTTGTTTCTCAAAAGTTTGAAGGTTAGTTTAATATTATCATTCCTCGAACATTCTTTTCTCGAAGTTTCCTTTTCTTCCTGAAGTATGTGAAGTGGTTGTCCGTATGCGTAATAAGGGGAGGACTGGTTCATACAAAAGGGTGTATTTTTTTGTTTTTTTTTTAAATAAAAATCAAAATTGTTGGAAAAGACAAAATAGTAGCTATACTTCATAGCTAAATAAAATGAAAGGATAAATTTTTTAATGAAAGGATAAATTTATATAATTTTCCTTCCAACCGGGCCATAAGTTGGTAGTTTTTTTTTGTTTTCAAATTGTGCATTTGCTTTTTCAGCTTCCGGATTTGATGGGTTTCGTGTATATGACTACGCTGATTTTGTTCAGTATAGACATCTAACTGGGGGATTTGTAATTTTGCTGTCAGATATTTGGCTGGGACATAGATTTTTTGATACTCAAGAAGGGAATTAGTTATGGGGTACATTTTTTATGGGGTGATAGGCTTCTAATTTAAAACGATTGATTAATGGATTCAAAGCATAATTGAGATCCATATCGAAGCCGGGATTACTGTTAGAATTTATGTACCGTTACCTTTCTAATGAATATGTAATTTAGTATTTAATTCAGTGGGTTTAAAGGCTGTCGCCTAATGGTCACTGGATATTGAGAAATTGATACCGGCGCATTTGCCGTTAGTATCTTATATGGTCTTACAATCTGGGTTCGCTTTTTAATTCGAGAATTCGAGGGAGCCAGGGGTATTTTGAAATCAGGGGGGAAACTTTTAGGGGTGGTGGCTTTGAGGCTGTAGCTATTGGGACAGCTGAATTGATTTGAAGTAGTGGCTCAACGAAGGATCGTGTTGAGGTCGGCGTTGCAGTGGGAGTCATAGTAGTAGAAACAGTTGGTTGTTGAGTTAGTGCTGAAAGTTGTGAATCCAGCGGATCAGTTGGTGGCAGAAGTGAGAGAAGATCCTCAAAACCTCTCAAGTCGTCATCAAGTGTTGCGTCCATAGTTAAATCAGTTGGTATATCCTAGAACAGTAGAAATATTTTATTAGACTGCGTTTTGTTTGGGTGATCCAAGTTTTGAGTTCTTCTCTCAAAACTTGTTGACTGGATGTGAGGATACATGCGATCCTGGTTTATTTTATCAATTTCCTCTAAGAGAAGGGCTTGTATTTTTTGATCACATTCTTGTTCTATTTTTTCAATTTGCTCATCTTGAGTGAAAATTGAGGTCACTATAGAAGTGAAAAGTATATTATACGAGGCGGCAAGCAATACTTTGCCAAAATTTAGTGAGCGGCCGGTGATTTTGTGAACATGCATAGCCTTTATTATGAATACTAGTCAATCTAGTATGAATTTCACAAATAGAAAAGATGCGAAGACTATTCCGCATTTTTCTAAATAGTATTGTACTCTCCCGAATATACGGGTGTATTCGCTTTTCCAAAAGTTTGGAGAGATGAGATAGTCCAAATATATTGTTTGAGAAGAGCCTAGTGGGCTATATGAGTCCGTGAAAAGAAATTTATGAGCGTTTGGAAAGGACCTGGATACTTTTTGCAGTATTACTTTCATCTCTGAATTATCGAAGTCATATTCCAAAATTTTTACATTTGCGCATATGTGTAGATTGAAGCGCCTTGGCTAGAGGCTAAAGAACGCTTAATCTGTTGAACTATCTCTTTTGGCTTAAAGAGATATGGTCCTGTAACCCTTTTAATTTGGGGGGTTAATTCACAATTCACGGAAGTCCCTTGAATCAATCTCAAATATCACTTTTCCTTCCAGTTTTGGAACCGAGGGTTCGACCACTCGTTCCTCCAAGACTACGCCTATGTTGCATTAGACCTGATAATTGCAAATGCTCTGAGATCATCATCCTCAATTCTGGCACTCGTTTTACCTTTAAAATCGAGAAACATTGCCTGCTCAAAATCAAAATACGCGTCCGAAGCATCCTCATCAACGAATGGGTTGTAAGCCATCCCGGACTCGCCTGATACTGTCTGAAATGCCTTCTGCTGTTCCAGCTTTACATACCCTTTCGGACTTCTGATCTTCTCCAGCAGCCACCGGCTCACTCTAAGTTCTTCATTGGAGCATCTTTTTATCTTTTCCAAATTCCGGTAACTGTCAAAATCGAACAGCTTTTTAGCGGGGATCTTGCGTGTTATATCTTGATAAAGTTCCAACAAAGCTCTAAGCAATATTTCTTCACACTTCGTTCCTCCTTGCCTAATAGCTTTTACACAGTCTACGACCCTCCAAAAATCTCGCCAAGCAAAGGGGCGTCTTTTCGCTTGGCCCAAGCTATTGCAGAGTCGTCTCTGGCAATCAATGTTTTTGGAGCTTAAGTTAGCCTCAACTGTTGCTCTCTTGACTTGTTTCATCGGTGGCTTCATATTCTGCCCTCTTTATTCTCAATAGCGACTACTTCAATTTTACTTGCAAGACCGTCCACACACATGGAATGGCCAGATATGCCATTAGTGTCGATGGTGTGTTCATGGTGTCATCGAAATATTTCTGGAGATTTGTCCTCCAGAAAATCTTTATAAACTGCACTCAGCCTTTCTCGCTCGCTCTCGATGACATCACGGTGCCGTATTCTTTCTTTCTCAGGTTTGAACTTGTCCCTAGCTCTTTCAAGTTTTCCTGCGTGGCTTGCGTGTCTTGCCATGCCATCAGGTGTACTCTCAGCGAATTCCTTGCCTTCAACATTTCTGAAGAGCCACCAGCTGGTTCACTCATTTACACTGATTCAGATTTCGGGGTCCTGCTAAAGTTGACCACGTCGAGTTGTACTCCAAGTTTCTTTCAAAGAAGCATGACTCCTTATTTTTTACTGTTCTCTTCTGTCGGAAACGGGCTTGACTTCACAAGTCGGGCCTCGTTTTTGTTGCAGTAGATATTGCAGAAGTAGAGTTCTCCAGTGTCACATAAAGCGCTAATACGAGGCCTATTGACAAATTCCTGGTGTCAATCAGAAAGTCTCTCGAGGCTCCGGGATAGCAGATATTCCAGAATGCAGGCGTCCATCCAACACCTAGTAGCGAGGATTGAATAGATTTCACGTATTCGTTTGTCGTTGCTAACACATCCAACTCGAATCGATATACGGACATCATATTTTTTCCTTCATCAACTGCAGCATAGTTCTAGTGTCTCCTCTCTTATATCCAATGTCGCTTCGAGGTACTGGTGGACTTCTTTTACCACCGCTGGCGCATGCTCTATTGCATCCTGTCTCAGCGTGCTCAGCCGTGTAGACAGGCAGATTCATAGGTTATTTTGAGTTTTTGTCCTCAAATTCAGACCACTGAGGCCTTACGCAGTGAAAGTAGCTTTCCGCCTGACCATGCTTCCCTCTACTTTTCTTTCATAGTCCACCTGTCTGAACCTCAAGTCGTTCGCTACATGTCGCACCAGCCCGTGACCATCGTTCACTCCTGTTCTCATTTTCACAGTTCAAAACCCTGAACTGCGTATATCAAAATCCTTGTCGTGCTATGATCTCAAATCCCTGAATTATCTTCGATATGTTTGACCATAACGCAATTGGTACC